AAAATAAGGGTTGATCGTAGAAGGGTGAAAATTTAGGATTGTAATGTATTTTTGTACGTTGTATCATAAAAAAATAGTAATTAAAAATTTTTGTCTAAAAAATAAAAAAAAAATTTTAGGGGTGGACTACCCCTAACATTTAGGGGGATGAAAAAATAGATGTTGGCCGATTCTCATAGCTACCGAATAAGCACAAAAAATTTCATCAAAATCGGTCAGGTTGTTTCGGAGGAGTATGGGCACGAAAAACTGTGACACGAGAATTTTATATATTAGATTAACTTTACTGTACACTCCATGTTCATTTGCAAAAACTATTTAAAATAAACGTTCAACAAATTAAGCTGAGTTTAAATCCATTGAGTCAATTTACACACGAGACTGTGTACGTTATACAGGTGTATAGGTTTAAAGGTACTCTTTTTATTGATACTCATTCTGATCACAAAATTGAATTAACGTTAGTAAAATTCATTAATTATGTATAGAGCTCAAGGCCAAAAAGACTTTTGATAAAAAATATACAATACAGCAGCGACAATGAGACGTGTATCATCCCCATGAGCGGTCAGAGTGTGTCGGATATCTGAGAGGTTGGTACGGAGCCGATCTAGATAAACTAATGACTCGACTTATATATTCAGCTCTCATACGATAGAAAGTTATCAGTTATTTAAATATATAATATAAATATGTTGAAGAACCTTGTCATATCTGATTTTTCAGAAGTGTGAAATCAATGTTTAAAACACATTCAACTTATCCATCTTTCATTTTGATTTAACTATGTATATATTAATACACTCACAAACACTGTCACTACTTTATTTCAGACTTTAACTCGCACTTGTAATTAGATAATCTTCCTCCTGATTTCTAGAATAAATAATTTTTGTTAAACAAATCACTGACGCAATGACGTTAGTGATTTGTTTTATGTCACATCTACCCTCTAAAGTAAAATACTTATGAAACAACTACCCCTTATAAGGGTTTTAAAAATTGTTGCGCCGAGAAACACATACGAATATATATACTAACAAACAGAGTAGCACAATTACATCTGCAAAAAAAATTTAATTCGCTTTATCTGCTTTTGGTTAGAAAATAATAATAATTATGGTTATTAAATTAAAAGTAGAATAATAAACACTTTAGGTATAAAAATTTTAATTTATTAAATTTTTTGTACAACAGTATGTCTCAGGGCCGGTAGCAAGCTGTAGTCTACTTTTTCTTAAAGATATATTGATCAGTAAATCATAAATATCAAGACGATTTGTCAGAACAAGAACCATCACAGTTGGTGGTGGTTCTCAGCGTCTATATCCTGTTGAACTCAAATTATTTGATTCAGGTTGTAGGATAAAACAAATTACATATACATATATGATTCACACCCGCTGCTACTGTGTGAGGTGAGGTTAATCTATAGAGGCATGTGCTGCCAGTCATGATAAACAGACACTACTTATTGTATGGAGCGGTACGAGCATCACTAGACGTTATATAATAAGAGTGTAACTATCATAACATGTAGTCCCCAGTGATCACTCCATCAAAGTGTTTTATATAAACGACTGTATACACACAACCATTCTTAATCACTTTCAAAAATCCAATAATATCAAGATTATTAACTGGAAAGCTACTATGTGTATTAAATTCATTTTGGTTTATTTTGTTTTGGTTCAAAAAAGAACGGGACTGTATCTTTTAAATTGATAAATTATTTTCAAATTAAAACAACACTTTAACAATTAAAACAACACACTTGAAGGAATATAATAAAGTTCTGGTTTCTAACTTTAATATTAAAGTCGGATTTTTTGGTTCAGTTATTTATTTTTTTGAGCTAAATGATTTTATGAATTATTTATGTCAATACAAATATTCTTTATATGCACTGTATAACAACAAAAAGGTAATATTATTTTTATATTGGTTCATAATGATTGTTCTCAAAGTGCTATTTTTTTTCAAAACTAATATTTCTGATCGTGTTTGAACTTTTATAGTTATAATTGTAAGTGCTTTTCTGACATCACATACTTATATTATACGCAATAGAAGTAACACGTGTCTCACCGTCTGTTCGTCTGTTCGTATGGAGGTTTGTGTGTAAAGTTAAATGCTCAGAGATTTAGGGGAGAGTCGGATATATCGTACCACTTTTCACTTTAACTCAAATATTTCGACTATAACACGTCTTATAATAATTAATACAAATGTAAAATAAAGTTTCATATTTTAGCTTCCTAAGAAGAAAAGAACAGACCCTTGCGATTATTCTAACATTGTTAAAAATGCTTTTTTATAGAGGCTTGCCATCGGTACGATTTAGCCGACTAGTCGTTTTAATCGTACCACTAAGTCTTTAAATCGTACCATGGGTGTTTAAGTCGTACCACTGAATGAAAGACATTAAAATTCTCAAACAAATTATTTATTTTTAACTGTTAGGTAAGTAATAAAACAAAATTATTTATATCTTTTAGGTAAATGAAACATAATTTTTAACTCTTAGGTTATATAAAGGAACTATAAGCTTTCTCAGTAAAATAACATGATTATGCTATGATAATGAGATCAATCAACATAACTAATAAATATCAGACATAAAAAACAGTGTATAATAATAAAGTAACAGTTAACAAGAATGTTATTTGTAATATAATTATTGTGCATATTTCTTAATAGAAACAATCATGACAAATGTCTGGATTCGAAGTACACGTCTCATGTAGCCACCGTTTACAGCGAACGCATTGAATCCAATCAAGTTTTTGGCCCCTTCTTATCGTAGTAAGAACAATTGCACTTTCGACATATATTTTCAAGATAATCATCGCTGTCATCATCATCATCTAGTTCTACAACAAGTGTCTCTCCTGAATCATCGCTACTGGTGATGGAATGAGATCGTTTCCTCTTATAACTTTTGTTTTTGGCCTTGGGTAGTACTTACTATACGTACTTGTGGTAGTACTATAGGTACTTGCGGCTGGTAGTCGGGTAAATCGTACCAGTACAATTTAACCAACTGCAAGTGGTACGATTAAACCAACTAAGGCATTTCTAAAACAAAAGCAAATATCCGGCATAAACTCAAAACTTAGACACGCAACAAAAACTCCCAATAATCTAGTATGCAATTGTGGAATAATAAAAAAAAACTGTATAACTATAGCTTACCTTGATTACGAGTTTTCTCCTTACGAATGTACGACAATATTTATATTAACTCCTACTAAAATGTTTTTCTTTTATTACTTGCACAGTTGGTAACTCACGTCGATTTAAACTAGTGGGTGAAGAGGGATGGTACAGGGCCACGATTTGGCGTTGTCAGTGTAGAAAAAAATATTCATTAAATGGGAAATTTAGAAGTGGTACGATTTAAATGCTAGTACGATATAACCAACTCTCCCCTATAAATAAGTTACAGTTATATAAAAAAGACAGTAATGTTACATCGTATAAGTATGCAAAGAGCTCTTTAGTCAAAGCAATACTATATTCAATATGTTTTTCCTTTTGCCAAGTGGAGAAAGACATAGTAACAATTGACTTACTAAAAAGTGTTATTGGATGAAATTACATCGTTATCTTCAAGAGAGATGAAAACTTACCTTACATGAGCAGGATACATGAATACATATTGCCTTTCATCCTCGGGGTTGACATTGTGAACAATATTTGTTGCTTTTTTACTGAAGCAGATTTCAGTGAGTACTGTCATAAAACAGATAAACAGAGACGCTTGGTCTTCAACGACTCGTGTGTAAGTATGAGATGTAAAAAATAGTTTCAATACGTCAGGTTAATAAAACAGTTTGTGCATATGGAGAATGTTTGTTAACGATACACTAACTATTTTTAAATATTTTCAATAGTCACATTTAACAAAATATTCTTAATACGTGTACAGTCTTCTGTGTTAAGATATTTCGTTATTTTCATAATGAAACTGACTCAGCAAATATTTCTTAAACCTATCAAGTGTCGTATAAAACTCAGTAATCGGGATATTATTTTTTTTAATATGCTGATGTGAGCTCAATAACACTAGCTTTCGACAAGAACCTAAACATATATTTTTATTAAACCATATTTTCACATAATATTATTTCGAAACAAAACTTACAGCTGCATGTATGTATATAGTAAAAGCTATCTCGAATGATTACCAATCAGAGGCCGTTTTGTATAAAATAGTATAAAAACAGAAATTTTATCATACAATTTGAAAAAAAGTATTCATAAAAATATAATAACTATAGGGGGAGGGGGGGCACTTTGATACACAAAAATTAAATCTCTTTTCTGAGGACCGTAAAGCATTATATTTAAATATTTGTTTTGATGTGTGCATTGGCTGATATGTCAGCTTACATTTTGGCTACGCAAAAACCGCAAAAATTGGCGACGTATAGAGATAATGTGATTTTAAGAAAATAAAATATTTGTATCATTCTGCCCCACCAGTGGGGCACTTTGATACATGGGGTGGGGCAGTTTGATACGTAATTTAGATCCATATGAAATGCAAATTTAAACTGACTAAAAACCCAATATAAACTGTATTATTACTTAAAATTAAGAAATAAAACAATTTTATTGATTGAGACTAAGTTTATTATTCGATCGGGTGTAAAATTGTACTGTCTCATTATGTGTTCATAATTATCATGAAAGTGAGCTACAGCAGCTTTATTAAAAGCAAAGCTTCTTGCTGCGCTTGTGTTTTCTGGTTTTCGTAGACTCAATTCTGGGTTTCTCTTCCTGAAGCCAGCTGCCCAATCTTTTCCAGCGCATTTGTTTTTTTCCAGGGTTTTGGATAATTACACCCTGAGGATTCTGTGAACTCGTATGCCAAAGTCAAAAGCTGTCTCAATGTAATGCCGTAGTGCATTTTACTGCAATTCAATAAATATTGAGTCAATGCCTTTTCTTGTTCGATTGAAAAAACTTGTGCAACGGTATACTTGGAACCATAGATGTTTGATGAAGTAGCTGTAGCAGTGTGTGATAATAAAGCTGCAGTAGTAGTGTGTGCTGAAGATGACGCTATTTTTGGCGTCTCCATAGATGGTGCTATTTGTGGTGAAGATGGACCTGCTTGTGATAAAGAAGATTCTTCTTGTGATAAAGAAGATTCTGCTTGTAATGAAGAGGATGCTTCATTTGTAGATAATATTCTGGTAGCTTCAAATGATTTTCTGGCTTTTTCTATGCGATGTTGTAGGGTCGCAGTTTAGATGCTATATTTGTCGGCTGCTTTGCGTATAGATAAAGTCTTTGACAATACTTCATTTATTGCGTCTTCAATGTTTTCTTCATTAATATTTTTTCTATCAGTTTTGGGTTTGTACGTGCGCACCATTTTCTGAAAAAAAGAAAATAAACTACACTTTAATACACTAGAGGGGCAGATTGATACGTATCATTGTACCCCGCACATTACCGTATCAAAGTGCCCCAACGGACTTTTTCCACAAACAATTAATTTTATCTAATATATAATAATAAGGCAATCAAAAACATTTTAAAATACAATAATAACTATATTTACTTACCTGTAGTAACAAATTATAACAAAAACAACTAAAAGAATCCTCCTGAGACACAATTACATTTCATGTTTTTTTTTTGTAGGCAGCGGCGTACGCCACTTTTAACACGTTAGTGACCGTTGAGGTCCAATGGCAAACTGGTGGCGAACGGTGTCACAACTGTTATTCTTGTGAATACCCTTGAGCATTCTAGTGATTTGCCGGACTGTGTAGCGTTTATCGGTTTTGAGATATAGATACTGTACCAATGTGCCCCGTGAATCAATGTGCCCCCCCTCCCCCTACAGTAAACTTGTAATATAAAATGTAATAGTTCATTCAAGAAATGAAACGGTGAATAAGATAATAAATAATAATAAGGTAAACATTAAATTAAGGAAAGAATGTATATTAAGAATATATTTTTTAAATTGAATTAATTTTAGGAACATAAGAGAATAGTACTATTTTCATAAAACATTCTATGTACAAAGCATTTCATGAAATATTTTCGGAACAAAAACCAAAACGTGAAAGAAAATATTTTCTGTAGATCTTTAAAAGTCTTGTTTCTATGTTTTTAAGAAACCTCCAAATAAAAAGTGATTTGAGAGAATTAAACTCACTTAAGATGACAGTAACTGACAGCCTTGAAGAGAGGGCGACGTAACTTTGTTAACAAAATACATATATAAAAAAAATAGATTTAATGAAAACAATCCAATATCCAAAATATTACATATTTTAAGAAACGTTATTCCAAAAACTACGTTCTAATATATATGTATATATATTATAACATTATTAGAAGCTGTCTTTGTGTGAGTTTTTACTTCCGTAAAGTATGTTGTATGCGTCTTATTTGAAATCTTGCGATTCTTCAAAATATTATAGAAGCTAAGAATAACGATAAAGAAAATTATCCTATTGAGTGTTATGAATGAAACGAGCTCCCATAGTGGTAGAGCTACATTAATTCTGAGACATTACTTGTCCTCTCCATCAAGTATCTCTCGGCAACATTTCATTAACGACTGAAATCATACCGCCCTTGAGAGGAGCGAGAGTGCCAAGTCATGTCTACATTCATGTGTATACGATGGATGAAATGTATTTCACGAGATTTTTAAAGAAAATAATTAGTTGAAAAACAACTGTATCATATTGAAGTAAAAACTCACTGAAGGTTTACATAATAGAAATACAAAACGCATATCTTATAGTATTTAACAGATCCTGACATGAACATGTTGTTTTAACTTCTCTTCCGTATTAACACAATAATTATAGTATTCTTAACAATAACAACACTTCTACTAATAATCTTGACTTGCTTCTTTCTGTTTATTTAATAAATATTGTGTAAGGTGAGCGAGTTTAATGATCATCATACTATATGACGATCTTTTACATTATTCCTCTTTATATCTTCTAGTTAGAACTAAGAGATAAACGTATGAGTTATGACGTATCATATACACTTAAAAACATATCATTCGTCCTGGAAGACTAATAAAGTCGTTAGTAGTGCGATTGAAGACAACGAGTTTAAACAAATTAATCCATTGTCTCTGGGAAACTTTTATTTTTTCTATTGTTACTTCACAATTTTATTACAAAGCAGTTACTTCATATAAAGTGTATTTCAAATATTATTCCAAGTATTTTACTGAACTACAGTCAGTTAATTACGTATGACGCCAACAGAAATATTATAACACGAATTATGTTGGTTGTTGACTCATTTGGAACTATTTAATGTAGCACCTATTTACAATAGTATCGAACATCTTTTATATTTTGATAAGAATATTCATATAAAACGTAATTTTTATTCTTGAATTGCAAAAATTAAAAAAAGTAATGTAAGTGCGTGCCTAAGGGAAGCTACTTCTGATTTGTAATGCTGTTCTGATGAGAAGAAAAAATCTATAGAAAATCCCATGAACCAAACTGAATACATCGAAATAAATGTCTGAACTAAATAAAGTCATATTGTTATTCTGAATATTATATGAAACTCATTTAATGTTTACAAAGATTCATTATCAACCTCAGGGTTAATCTACAAGTAGATCCTAGCTGTGGTTAAGTTACTACAGCTCTTATATGGGCTGGCTCGACTGGGGAAGTACCACTCTCTCATAGAAGATCGTCGTGAAGTAGTTTTTAATTGGTGCACTTAGTCCGATGAGTGAGAGAGCCAGTTGTGCTTTTTCTTATCTTACTCCTTCCTCTCTCTCTCTTCAACAACTGTGGCTGGAGCCACATCTGTAACATCCTTTATGTTGTACAGGTCCACGGGCGACGGTGACTACCTTCCACCAAGTAGCCCGTCTGTTCGTTTGCCACCTTTGAAATAAAAATAATAATTATTATCGTTATATTACAGGGAAGTAAATATTTCTCCCTGAATAATATAATTATATTTTAAGCTTTAATAACTCATACTTAATTGAATTTTTATAATATTTGATATGGCTCATCGAGAAATAATGGTTCCTGTAATTAGATTTTTCGAGCAACATGTTAAATTAATATAATTAAGTAATATTTAATAAGGAACATAATAATTGGTTAAACATTTTTTTTATATATTGTTTAGGTTACGGTTTCAGAAAGATCATTCCAGCAGCAAAAGTTTCTCATGTGAATACATAGAAAACACGTTGCGGCCAAAAAGTTAAGAAATTTCAGTTTTTCCTTATAACGGCCCAGACTCTTCAACGATGAATCATGAATATTACTTATTATTTCACGAGAGAGTGTGCGTCTTATCAACATAGCATTTGTCTAATATAATGGAGACGGACGGGACGTTGTTACATTTATACAAACCCTGTTTTTTAGAAATAACACTTCTTTACAAAATGAAACATTAGATTGTTGTCTTAAAAAAAAACTGTTTAAAAGTATCGTGACAAATACGTACTGAGCGAAACAATGCACGAAAGTTATAAAAATGAAAATAGTATATTTATATACATGGAGTCTTCATAATTCCATCTTATGTGAAGCACTTGGACGAATGAATGAAAGATTTATGACGGATCAATAAAAAATAATTTCTGAAATAATAATTGTTATAAGCTAACATACGTTTCATCTGAGACATCGGTAAATTTTACCCGCCGAGTTAAAAATATAGCTGGCTTATAATTTCTTCTTTAATGTTATCATTCTAGGACAACGTTCCACCGCATAATCGTATAATTTCCAGCTCTTTGTTTCATAAAATGTATTTAAATATTTATTCTTCACAAACATAACAGATTGTAGCAGCCAGGAGAAATAATTGAACATATAAGTTAAGTTAGGAGAATTTTCTGAAAACTTTACGAACTTTCCGAAGTGATTTGAACATTTTCTCATCCTCAGTATTACATAAGTAGACTACAAAGAAGTTGTTTTGTTTATAAACTGGTATTACTGCAGTAACTTATTTTAATTATAACCCCATGCCACCCTACAATGTATAGTATTTTTCACATACAGTGTGAAATACTTGTCATACTTGCTTAGATACAAAGACGATTCTTAAAAGCGTTCTGCAGTTCATATTTTTCTTTATGTAGAAAATTGTATGTATTCAAAAACGTTTAATAACTTTTTTGATGTAATGTACGAATCTTTTGATGTAATATAATAGTTTGTTAGGTAAAATATGCTTTAGAACTTCTTAATCTGTTCAAACTGGGAAAAGACCTTAATAAAAGGAATTCTTCGATAAAGTGAAAGTTTTAGAAGATATCTTTAATATTTTAGTGTGAAAATCAAGAAAGTATTTTAGTATAGACGAAACAATATAATAGAATTTTATCTATAGTAACAAAATCTTCGACCATTTTGTGTTCGTTGTATTGATTTCAGAGTTAATTAGATAAGATTTGTTCAAAAAAGCAGTTCCTTTAAAACGTTTATAACATTAACTTAGCGATGAATTATGTATTGATAGGCTTTCTGACGTTTTGGGGTTTTAGGTAAGTAATTATGGCAGAATGGACGAAAAATCAAGTTATCTTTAATTCTTGTTATTTTCTGCAAACGATTAAACTTAATTTGAAAATTATGAGAAACAATTCATATTAAAATCCATATTATTTAAGCGAAGTAAAAAGTATTGTCATCTTTGGAATCGGCTTTCGAACTACGTCCGTTATCCTCGAATATCCAGTTTGAAAAACTACAAAATTTCCTTATGATATCTAAGATTTTCATAGTGCACATTTAATGGAAAATAAGTTTTACAGAAACTGTGATCTCCTTATAGTGACGAAATAAATCTTGACTTACATCTCAGCTGTCCGTGATCACGGTTACTGTATACTATATAAGGACGGGACACCTATTAGGTAGTAGATAAGGCGAAAAAATATTTTTCTTTTTTGAAATTGGAACTGCTAGGCTGTTGGATTGTTAGGTACTCCTGGATAGCGATCAATATACGCGTCGTCACGATAGGGTTCTGGAAATCATAAGCGAAGCGGTTAGTCTTTATATTTATATACGGGCCTCTTAAACCTACATCTGTATCGTAAGTCTTAGGAACTGTTGAAGCTCGTCTGCCTACGAAGTTATGTGACCGCAACCGGCACGGTGAATTTATAGAATGCTAAGAAGTTTCATCGCAAAATAATACGTTTGTGCAAATATACAACTGTTTCATAATTTTAAATTTCCAAATAAAATATTTCCATGTTTTATTT